ATCTCTTCGCGGCTCAAGGCAACCAAAAGTACGCACGTTCCATATCATAGTGAGGTTGGGGCAGGCTGTCAAGTCGCGGAGGGTGACCTAAATGGTTGGCCAACGCCTGGCAAGGCCTCCGACATGATTTCAGCTGCCGCCTCGCAAACCTCAACTTTCCTGAGCCGTACTGACTGCCTATACAAGGGGTGCGGCACCATGTAGCTAACAACGATACTAGGATGCGATTCCATTACCCTATCTTCAAGTCCTGTATGGCCGACTGAAACCTCTTTCTGGTTCGCACTGCCGCCGCAATCAGTTCCGAGGTCTCTGTAACGAGCGTCTTGTCCCGTCAAAGACTGTCCAACTTCGACTTATGTAACTCCAATTCAGAGAGGAACACATCAATCTTATTCGCCATCTCCTCCAATTCCTCAATAACAACGCGGCACTTCCATCTCCCACATGGATCATAAACCTCCCGAAACAAACGGACCAAGACTGGCTCTAAGACTGGCTGCCTGTCTGGCCAGTGCGCTAGACAGCCCGGATGGAATCCTTTTACTACCCATGCTTCGTGGCCTCGGATGTCGATCTTTTCGGCTCGCCCAGCCTTCGCCTCGTCGATGCTCGAACAAAGTTGCCGCGCCAGTCGATTTGCTGCCGGCCTCCGCACCTCTCGTCCGTATTTGAAGTACCCTTGGTTTCACATTGGCAACACAGGGTTACGTTTGGCTTTAGGATCGCTAAGATATTTTTCGTCAAGTCGTGAGAAGCTTCTTTGGCCTCTTTTCTCGTCTGACCCATTGCCTGCAAGTCTTCATTGCTGAAGAAGCTGCAGATGTTAAGGATGGGGACTTGATCAATAGATAAGTGCGAGGCACCGAGTTGCTCAGATATTCAACGAATTGTATAGCCTTTTATCATTTCCTCGAAAGCCATGTCATGTGTATTGGATGGGTTCTGCAGTAGGATGAGCGGTAGCGGACGCCAGCCTCGGAAGAGGCGGCTGAAGTTGTTCCACACCTCAGGCCTGATCCCCCATCGATCTCGAAACTCTCGAGCTGGCGCAAAACAAGGGTGATCTTCCGTTATAAGCTCGCACTCGGATGTCTTCTCCAAGCTTGGATTTATGACGTGTTCGATGACATGCGCACGTGTCCTACGGGCTTCTGGTATTGACAGCCAAACGAATGATCCGGTGATATCAAGGGTCTGGTCTAAATGACATTACTGTTGGAATAACAGCACCAGCTGGTTGTACGACATGCACGACTCAAGGACACACACCATGGCAAAGGGCCAGACTGGATATTCGGCCCTCGGATATCCAATGAGGCGATCAAAAGTGTATCCATGCCGAACTGACTCACGGACGTACGAGATCATATATCTTGTGTACGAAAGCCAAGTCTTGTAGTTAGAAAGATAATCACGGAAATACATATTTGGTTCACCCCCTACATTTAACCCGAGTACGATCGTACACACGGGTTCTCTCGGGAAGAGAGCATCCTTTCAACAGTAGCCTCTATTGTCGAGCGAATTAAGGCATCGCCATGTGTGGTACATCTGCTCTCCATCTGCTACCCGAAAAGCAGCGAGTTTTATATTCACCTCGTTGGTGAGATCGTTCGGGTTGATTGTGTACCATATACACGGCATTCCATGTTTTAGGCATAGTGACTTCATCTTTCTGCGAGAATAAAGGCGTTCCTCGTTCGACATGTGCTGTCTTTGTCCAAACGCGCTGAGCTCCCTGAGCAGATACGCCACCCTGTCGTTACTAGTAGTCCGGGTGTCACGATATTCCTCTTCTGCCTTCTCAATCTCCTCAGGACTAAGAGACGCTACAATCTGCTCAATCTTCGCAAATGAAGATCTCTTCATACGGAGATAACTGATCCGTCGGTTATCTGCCCGGACAAGCATATTGAACACCAAAAACGGAAAGCTTGGATGTGTAGCAAAGTGGGCTCCTGGCACAGCGTTACCATATGCACCTTACATACGTACAAATAGGGATGTTCCCTACCATGTCTTTGTAGGCAAAGGCGTGCCCAAGTACGGAGGTAAAATCCACTCAGCTTGTAATTGCTGCGTGTAGACTGCTCGTTGAAATCCGCTTCGTCCTCTACGTTATTATCCTCAACCAGTATCGTTGGACCGCCTCGGCCCCAAGGAAACAGGCAAGGGAAAGTCTTAGGGAAGAAATCGGGATCGTTCGAGTCGGCGAACTCTCCACCCCTACGACTCACTATATAGGGCTCTGTGTCCTTATAGCTGAGGTTGATTTCCTCGATGGCATCCTTTGGCTTACGACCTCGCCATTGTCGGGTGCCTTTCATCGTCGCCGTGCGGAGAATTTGAAGCCGTTCCTGTGGGCTATGCTCTCCGGATATCTCGGTAGCCATCAGACCAGTTGAAGTCAATTCCGAAAGCTCCTCCTCTATATGGCGAGGATCCATCTCATATGGCTCGCGGCCACTGGCATGGATTCCTCCTAGCCTGGCGTTGCTTTCGGCTTCAAGTGATGCCGCATTGCTGTCTCTGTCCTCGAGGCTTACGAGGACATCATGGGCATCTCTTAGAGGCTCGTCGGGACGGCCCCGTTCGGCCGGGGGGGACATAATGCCCTGTACGGATCTCGTCTTCGACACACAACTGGTACGATACCACGCTCTCGACGATTGCCTGTGGGACTTCGGTTCCAGGGGACCATTCCCCCCCAGGGCTTAAGGTTATCTTCACTAATGGTGATGTGTCGGTATAGTGGATTGTTGGTCCGAAGCCATACAAGAGCACGCTTAAGCTTTCGTGGGTTGACTGATAACATAAAGCTGAGGTCAGAGGGTACTGGTGTACGAGGACCTACGAAACAGACATGCAGCCGCTCTCGTTCCTCAACCAGCGGATGAGGTAATACATCGGCCGCCACACCTTGAATGTCGTTTGGAAATACCGTAATATGCCCCCTCTTGTGTTTCCGGTACCGCCCACTCGTCGCCTTCTCAATGTCAATAGTAAGCTTCGTGATCCAGCCGCAAGGAGTATAGATCCCAATGAGACGCTCTTCCAACGGTGAAAGGTCTTTCAAAGCGTCAGGGTACCGATGGATGCATCTTAACGACAGATTATTCACCTGACAGGCGTACGGCAGTTTTCCCTGCCGCAAGGAACTTCTGCATTGGGTGCAGATCGAGAACGTTGCTTCTGACGCCCTTGGGAAACACCGCGCACATGAAAAATGCTCTCGGTCTAACTTCGGAATTTGATCCTCAACCTTGAGGTATGATGGCTCAAATTCAGCCCATGTATAATCGACTAGCGACGTGGGAGCCTGTTGTTGGCAGCATAGTCGGCAATAGTCGATCTCAAGCGTAGCGTCATCATGCATGCTTTCGTGAAACGCCTTCGTTTTCTGGAGAATGGTCGATCGGGTTACTGGCAAACACCATGTACGCTTAATGGAGTTTAACTTTTTCTCCAAGTAACAGCGTTCTCTGTGGTCTATTGCCTGCTTGACCGCCTTTTGTCTTGCTTTAAACATCTCTATTGACTGTGGGGAGATATTTGCCTGCACTGGTTTTGGTATCGAGGGCCTGATTGGTAGATTTTGTTTATAGATGGGACTGGGTTCTTTCCTGACAACCGGCGGCGTAGGTTTTGTACTTGCTGTAACTCTCGTGTGGGACTCCTTCAGACTTTCGCTCTGCCGTTCCACATCTGGTGCGATAGACACGATGGCACTTGGCATTGGTCTGGGGTTCCAGGGAAGAAGGTTTGGGCGATTGCTTTGTTCCCAAGCTTTGCGCCCAATGATGGCCTTTCTATCTCCTCCACGGCCTTTCCTTGGAGTGAGTTGAATCGGTTTAGGTGGACTATTCAACCCTTATCTGTATAGTCTCTGTGTTGGCGATGGTCTACTGGTTGACGGTAATTGGTTTCTAGTCGAATGGATGATATTATCGGATGAGGACGGGGGTGTTGGGAGTATCGTGCGGATTTGGCTGACTGGAGGTTTCGACCCTTCCCTAAAGGGTCTCTGTTCTCTCTGCCTTGACGAAGACCTTGATGGTGATGGTGGTCGGGCTTGGGTCGAATGCAGGGCATTATGGGACGAGGACGACGGCACTGGCACCAGTGTTCGACCGAGGTTCAAAGGAGTACTCGGTCCTTCGCTGAAGGGTCTCTGTGTCGTCGACGGTCTTGGTAGAATCGGTCGAGGAACATTGCTGCTGGATGAGGACGATGGCGTTGGTAGTTGTTTCATGCTTAACTGTCAAACAGAATGGATCATTCCTTGGGTTTTCAGGATGGTGATAGCTATCCTACTCTCGATAAGAATGCATACACAGATCAGCAACAATACCGTGTATCCTCTCTTCTCTGCAGACACTGAATGCAGCCCCAACTGGCCTAACTGCTTGCCTCATCCTAATCTTGTTGAGGGCAGCCATTCTACCACCGCGCGGCTCTACGCAAAGTCCAACTAAGTTTGTATTGTAGACACCAAGGCCTTCCCACTGCACTACCCTACCACAACCTGGTATTGTGAGTATCCCAACAAAGTAAGAAACTATCCTTTCCTCCCTATCAATAGGGTGAGTTGACGCCCCCTGTTGTTCCCACTCTATGAAAAAAAAAGACTGCGCTACTGAAACAGGTTGCTCGTCATTAGCTTCAATTAGTTAGACTAACTCCAGATAACCGCCAGACCGGGCTTCTTCCATTGAGTCCTAGCCCAGGCCGCAAACTTAGAGTTTCCCCTGCAATGTCCGCCTCCTCGTTCACAGCTCCAGTTCCTCTTTAAAAGTCTTGATTGTCATGATCTATTTTACTTTTCACTTACCGTTATCACCTCTAGCAGACCCCTCCAATTTTCATTCTGTTTTTCTGGAAAATCCATTGATATCCCACTTCATCCTGCCGTTATGGGTACAGAAAAGCTCGACTTGGTTGCCTATTGGCCAAAGGCGGAGCTGAAGCTGCCTTCGCCATGGAGTGTCCCCCTTACAATGACCGCCATTGGTAAAATAGTAGCCGTCGAATCTCTGGATAGGGATTATCAGGTATTTCGTTACCAAAACTGGTCCGGTCAGATCCACATCCCGATTCATACGCCGGAATGGCTGGCCGATACGTTCCCCGACATACTTGATACCTTACATGCCGGCGCTTTGTCCCTAGACCTCTCTCGCTTCCACCTAGGAGGTCCATTAACGACAGATGAATGGGAGGAGCAGTGGTTTAGCATCATCTGTGAACCTCACTTCAGCTACGTCCCCTGTGGTCTGTCCGGCGAAGACGAGGTAGGCTATAAACGATTGGCATGGATTCAAGATGATGCCCTTACGCCGTAAGTTTCTAGGTCCCTACTGCCCTAAACGCCTTTCCTAAGCCTGCCTTGTAGTATTTCTGAGCGTGCCTGTATCGACCTGCCACCTCGCTTTCCGATTACTCCACCGTTCGTAACCTTCAACGGGTTTGTTGACACCCAGAAGTTCCCCCTTGCCGACAATCCTTCCATCGGTCTCGATGATATAACCAGGAACTCGTCAGCTATTTTCAGGGTGTGGTCGAAGTTCACTGTCACCGAGGCTGCTCATACTCCGAAGACGGGGTGGTACGCCAACTACGTCTACGCTATGCTTCCGAAATGCAAGCCACATATGAAGAAGAAGTATAAAGACTATCGTGCGGACACCACGCCGTTCCGAAGGCACGGTAAAAAGGCCTATATCACTGGCTACTTCCATGGGTTCTGCAATAAGAACGTTGTCTTCTCTGATGGTTGCCCTTACAACCCTCTCGAGTTTGTTCCACTCATCGAGGTCCTGAAGATTGACTGGGCTGCTGGTGAGCCAAGACAGCAGCCGGGAGCCCGCGATCTACTCGCTACACCATCCAAACCAGAGACCCCCAGCCGCGGCAAGGGAAAATTTATCTTTGATCCTTTTGTCCAAATTAATGCAGACGCAAAGCGGCCTGCTACCCCATCCAAATTAAGTAGGTAACGGTTTGACACCTCGAGGGCTACGCTAACACCACTGAAATCACTAGCTTCAGACTCCACCATTTATGACGATGATTCGTTTTCCGTCAATGGGCTTCATGAAGCCCAACCCAACGACCCAAAGCGGTCTGGAGAGATAGAAGTCCTTGGAGACAGCGAGGACGAAGCGAGCCCAACCAAGCGTCCCAAGCGAGGAAGTTGGCGTGGAAGAAGATAGACTATCTAGCCTTGCATACAGTCATAAGCATGAGTAACTTCCTCTCTGAGCAAACCTTCTTTACTGTAGGCATCGGCGGGACTTAAGAGTACTTAGCGGGTCGTACTAATATATGCAAATTGTATGCGAGATGACATACTTTAGGGTACTCTCAAGAACATAGAAGCGCAGCAAGGAGCAGAACCCACAATGCCTAGTGCAGTTTTATTTCAGCAGTACCTGAGGCAGGCTTGGCGGGTACTTCTCAGGATGCACCATGCATCCATTTCGGGTTCCTGATGTATGGACAATCGATCCAGGCTATCTCTCTGCTGATGTGTTCTCTTGCGTTCGGCAACGCTTGATGTGCAAAAATGCTACTATACTGTGTTGTATCAATATCATTGTGATGCTCGCATGATTAGCGACTGTGAAAGTCCGCAGCCAAGTAACGATGGTTTGATCCAACAGATCGCGTAGGCTGTCAGCGCACGTGTAAAGAGAATCCGACGAAGGCAGAAGGGACAAGGTCAGGCCTGCCATTTTGCGATCTGGAAGGTCCTTATGCTTCTCCTCTCCTGTCTTTCCAGTTGCGGTGAAGTTTCAGGTTAGGCCTCGGTCATTGATGTTGGGCCAGGTGCCCGTGACAAGAGCCTTCGTCTGGCTGAGCAAGCCAACGAATAAGCCTTTCACGGAAATCTCGTAAGGAAAAAGAAAAGCTGCCAATGAGCATGCCGTTATGGCATAGGAACGAGTTGGGATGAGGGAGAACAACATTCACGGTCCCTTTCAAGAGGTGGTTGGTAGCTTGAGATGCGAAAGGTGCCTGGAGGAACCAAAGGTCTTACGCGCCATCTATTCCCAAAATCGGATATACCTCGGAATTACACTAGGCTACAGATGCTCGTTAATTTGAAGACCAGAGATCAGGTGACAGCGCGAATATTACATAACACGCTCCCCTCTGAGTCACTTGATTGCCCGCCTCGTCTCGCGTCTGCTGCTCGCGTCACGCAACATTTTGCCCTCCTTTTCCTCCCTTCCCGCCCTAACAAATTGCTTCGGCCGCACCAAGCATTTCCTCCTTCCTACGTGTTAATAAAGTCCTCTTACGGAAGATCGTCAGATTTCTGACCAATATTTGTCCTTCAACCATCTGATCCGTCCTAGGATTCCACGTCTGTCGTGTTTGTCTACGCGTTGCGCAGAGGAAACTTACGAGGAACGATGGGCAGACACAACATACCGGAAGGAGCCTTCTTCGATGGCAGTCCTGAGATTCGAATCCGATGCGGCAAGGAACTTGATCAAGACATTCGAGATGTGCTGGATAAGGAAAATGGAAACCTCGAGAAAAGATTGCAAATGGATTGCTTCTTGCGACCTGCTAGTGATAAAGAACGAGATGGGCACTTGGCCCGGCTAAAGGGGGTTCAAAGGATGGATGATTTCTTGCGTAGGACTGGTGACCAGGCCACGTTGTACCATCATGGCAAGGTAAGTCCCAGTTATTTCCTAAAAGAGATGTTTCGCTTTTGCTTATTCCTATTATGGTAGAAAGTTGGTTGGGACGTCCGCCTGGGAGACCATCCATGTGGAATGCTCGCGTACAACGACAAATGGTGGAGATACAAGTATGACGACACAAATCTGAGAAGATTTGGTGACAAAAAGCGCGAGGAGATGAGCTGCATACCAGTTGACCTCCGCGGTAGTGAGTACCGGTACTCTTGTGAGCGTGAGTCGCGGTATGCCCACTTGCTTCTCGTCTAAATTGCTGACTTGTCGCACAGAATGCCTTTATTGCAATGGGCAGTACGACAACAAGATTGAAACCGAGTTGGGTCGCCGAACGAGCGGAGCAATGACTGGACACGGGCCTTGGATAGAATAGCGACTTGAAGTTTGACTTTGCCGCCGCTAGAAATATAACACTATGTAGGTCTCGTCTACAACTTGGAAAGGTGTTGTGAAAGCGGAAGTTGATTATGTTCATAACTGTAGAGGAGGTTTTGACATAGCTATCTATACATACACTGTCTTATCTACTGAGTTTCTTGTCTGTCTAGTCTTATGGCTGATTACTTCTGGTTATTGTTTTGCCTTGCCGATAACTACTTTTCGCATAGTCTTTTATCGTTCATGTAGCTTATATAACATCATCGTAACCAAGATTTTTTAGCCGGGCAGCATGCCATCTGGGTAAGACCAGCATAGGTCGGGATGCATGCATGGCACTCGGTCTTATTACAGAAAAGCTTGCTATTGCTTCGCATCTGGAGGCTTGACGTGGGGGCGGGGCTGGCCAGAGTACTTTACACCGAGATTGGCTGACGCTTACTATAGTGCCTATGGATGCTTTCTTTGTGACTAAGCATTTATGCCTGTATCAATGATGTGGACTCGCAGGCGCCAAGCTGTTGCTTTCGAGCCTTTCGTCAACCGGCGCTCAACACCCTCCTGAACTGACTCTCCTATCTTCTCTCTTCGCATGATCAAAGAAAAGCTCCCCTTCAGGAATCAATCAGCATGAAAAAGTACCAATACTCCCCGCTCACACTGAAAAGCCAAATCCGCCTCCTGAAGCTCTATGCCGGAGCGGAGGCGGAGGAGTTGTCCGGTGAGCTGGTGCACACCCCCCTCGGCGGAACGCCATTCTTCACCGCGCTTTCCTACGCATGGGGTGATTCGGAGCCCCGAAAACTAATTTTCTGCTCGGGTCTCAAGATGGAGATCGGCCCCAACCTCCACAGCGCCTTATCACATCTCCGACAGCCCGCCTGTGAGACCTTCCTCTGGGCGGACGCGCTCTGCATCAATCAGGAGGATATCCTTGAGCGCAACCAGCAGGTCAGGATGATGGGCGATATCTACGCCGCGGCGTGTTCTACAGCCATCTGGCTTGGCGAGGAGTCGTGTGAGGTTAAGATGGCCGTTGGCTGGTTACGCAGGTTCGCCGTAGCTTGGGACTCGTTGGAGTCTCACCCAGGCTCTATCACCAGAAATCAGGCCAAGGGAATGTTGCATGCGGCATTCGGCAGAAACCAGACAGCTGCCTTCCGACATATTTGGGCTCTCCTCAACCGTCCGTGGTTTACACGGAAGTGGGTCATCCAAGAGCTGGTCAAGTCGCAAATGCCAATATTGGTGGTCGGCAGAATGATTCTCCCGTGGGCGATGTTGGCTGGTTGGGTCAACTTCGTCGAGTGGTGCCCAAACATAAAGGAGGTTTTCATCCGATTCTGCCCCACACCTCTCGAGGCGGGTGCGAAGGTGTTGGGTTTGACTCTATTAAGGGTTTCACTTCTCACAAGCCTCGCGATCCCAGAGGACCAACTCCTGCTGTTTCTCATCGTGAGGGCACTAGAGTTCAGATGCAATAATCCCCTTGATCACGTTTTTGCGATAGTAGGAATCGCATCCGATGCCGACCGCTTCGATCTGATCGACTACGGAAGCCCAATGGAGAAGGTTTGCCGGCAGCTCGCGTATGCTTGCATCTCCGACAGCATGAGCCTCAAGTTGCTGTGGTCTCTTGTCTACCTTGCGCCGTTAAATTGCCGAGTACGTTCTTGGGTGCCAAACATCAAAAGCGTACTGGAGGACCATGACGGAGGCATCTTGGCTTCTCAGTTCCCTGTACAGCAGCACAGAGATTATAACGCATCTGGAGATACAGTGCTGCAAGCGCACTTAGACGATGACGGGGATATGCTGATGATACGGGGCCGCATCGTTGACAGGGTTCAACTTCTTGGGTCGGACAACAGAAGTCTTGGCGACGCTCGTATCGTCGAAGATATGTTTAACGATAATATCCAATTCCATCGAAAAAATGTCCAAACGATGATGAGGCGGAGGTGGCAATGGCTAAAAGAATGTCTGGCCATTGCGAAGACCTCGAGCACGACCAATGTCGAGGAAGCTTTCCAAAATGCGTTGCTGGGCGACTCCCTCATCAACAAAGAGGTACCTCAGAGTTTGGCAGTGCTTAGGAGCGAGCTTTCCACTCAGATACGTCTCCTCAAAACCATGGCCTACGAGAAAGATGATGGAAGCTGGTTATCCGCCATGATAGCAGGCATGAGCCTCCGATCGAGCCATCTCCTTGAAAGCATGATAATGGAAAAGCTGCACCGGCGGTTTGTCAGTACAGAAAACGGAAGGATAGGCTGGCTACCACCGATCACTGAGGAAGGAGACTTTATCTGTGTCTTTGACGGTATGGAGCTCCCGTACGCCATCCGTCCAGCTTCAGACGGCCGATATCTCCTTGTTGGTGAATGCATCATCCTGGGACTCATGGGGGGGGAGGCGGTGGGGTTATCTAGTGTCGCTTCGGAAATCATCGTTCTCCAATAATACCGATTCCTTTACCCACATACATTCTGTCCCGGAATTGGTATGCGAACAGGTTCAAGATTCGGTTGGCTGATGAGCTTGCGCAAATAATTTCTTCAGAGAATGGCTCGCTTCCATTTAATGCAGGAATCCTTCTCTTGGGTGGCAAGATGACTATTCCTTTGCTACTCAATGACATCTGCCGAGGTATCCACCCGCAGATGCTTCTTACACAGGGGGGTCCTTCATCTTTGTTCCTTATAAGCCATTCCCTGACGCAAGGCACTTTAAGTACCGTGTTATTAAGTTACACGGCCAAGCGACTTGAACAGGTAGCTGGTGACATAGTCGATACCAGCTTCATTTCTATAATAGATTCATGTAATCAGTCTTGTCCCAAAGGAAGAATTCATTTCTTGTTCCAGGCAGGAGCAATTCAGACCGGTAGACGGCTACAATGAGATTGAAGTATAGCATTTATCAATTTTCGAAGCATGGTCAATGTGAAGGTGTCTCCCAAATAAACTCAAACTGAATAATCCTGATGGCATTGAGTGAGATGCCGAACGCCACCTTCTGTGAGGCTCGAGAGCCTCGGACAGGAAAATCTGAGTCTACAGGAATGTCAAGTACTTTCAAGATCTTGCCCTCATCAAGAGAGCCACGTTGCCGAGGACAGATTGAAAGCAGCCCGGTCGCTGTCGACGCAAACTCGATGTGAAGAGAGAGTGTATCAATCTGCACATGCAATGGCCCTTGTCCCACCCGCGTGTACCGGTGCCATGGTAGGTCCACCTCTGTGATCTTAATAAAAGGTGGCAGTACGACGGGCCACGAATAACGTCTAGGCAACAAGGGGTCTACGGCATCGATGTGCCGCGTTTGGTGTACTTCCTCCCCAACCTCCTTGCCTCGTTCGGCCAGGCTCGAGTTGGCGCCACTCGACAAAGGCAGACATGCCCGGCTTTCAAGAGGATAACGAGAGATGATTCGTCCCCCGCCTTTGAGGCTTTGAATCACCTCTCGCATTTCCCTGACCATATTCTGGACCACGCATTGATACCTATCCGTCTGTGCGGCGGTCATCCACTCAACATCAGGCAGTGTCCATTTCTCGTAGATCCGACCGTGGGTATGAGACACCACATAACCGCCATGCGTACGAATAAACAGATCGCACAGATAGCAGGCGGACTTGCTGCATCCGATTGCTCGCGGCGCCGGCGTATGTGGCTGCTGTTCTGAATAAAAGATCTGTTGAATCTCTGCGTGCACGAAGCAATGTTGAGCACTACCCGGACGAGCGAGGCCTGGGGGTGATTGCAAAGCCATGATCTCAATGTGTTCGAACAAACGCCGATAGCTTGGCCGCCTTGCAATTCGAGCTAGATCGCTGCATGCGAAAAAGTATCGGGCCAATTTATCAACCTGGCGTATCTCTGGGCTCTCCGCAAGTTGTGTTTGAACGCCTAAAGATTTCAGATGCTCCTCGACCGAGTTTGTGCTGCCTAAGCGTGCGACTTGCGCGCATTGTATGACGATTATCTTGAGGGCGTCCCGTAAGGCATCGGTTTCCATGGGATGCTCGACAAGCTTCAGAGTGCCTACCAAGTCCTCCAGCCGTTCGAGGAGTGCTTTGGTTTGGGCAGAAAAACGCGAATGGTCCCCAATTGTAAGTATGCGGCTCCACAATCTGTCTTGCAAAGGAGACTGCGGTACTCTGTAATGCTGAGGCTGTGCTACCCAGGATGGGCGCAATCGGCTAAGAACGCGGTTATCACTAAACCGGAGCACCATATCCAGTAGGTCCTCTCGAACCGCATACTTTGGACCGTCTGCAAGCACATCAGCCCCGATCGTGGGAAGTCTCTAAGAAGCCATACCCTCTTTGTTAAGCTTGCTTAGGCGTGCCGTGAGTTTCGTGAGCTCTCCAATGAAGTTTGATGATGGTGTAGTGTTGCCTGCGAGTACAAGCTGTAGGCGTTCGGGATATTCGCGCAGAGTCACCGTAGACACAAACTTACCCCCTTCTTCGTGATGAGCAAGGAACGCAATATGGTTGGCCGTCCGAATCTCATCCTCAATGGAAAGAGTGTGAGTTCGGAATTCTGGTCTCACTCCCTCATGGTAAGCTCGTGGTTCGGATGGTGTCTCGGTCAACTGTTGCAGGGACGCAATGGTTCGATGAAACTTTGCCTTCAGCTGTGGGGCCCATAAGTTGGATGAGTTGTTCATGGCCGATTGCGGTCGTCGCGCACGAGCACTGGTCCGAAATAAGTTACTGTAGACCAGGCCTGGCAATAGTCTTCATCAAAGGTGTCGTAGGAGATATTGACTCACTTCATAGATCTATTCCTTTTCACTTGCACCTGTCATATTTGCGCGTCGATGCCCAATGTTGGCTGTTCCTGCTTTCTTTATCGGCCACTTTGGTTTGCTACTACCTCGGGGGCCAGTTTGTCCAATCGCCGCCAACACACCTTGGTTGCTAACACGCCCCACCAGCATTGGACGGGAGCTCAACAGCATGCTGTCGGGCGGTTAGAGGGTGAGACTGGGGGAGGCGTGAATCTTGCCGACGAGGGTCAAATCTCAATGGGGAATTGCGCCTCATCCGGGGATATGGTCAGATGACCGTGTGTCAAGCAGTGATAGCCTGGACTAGGCTCGCTATCGGATACCACTTCCGCCGTACTAAGGCAGCAGGGGGAAAAGCCCCAGACGATCAGTGTAATAAGCACGACGTTTGCCCTCGTTGTGGCTCACAGCCTACAGAAACTCTGCATCCCCGGACACGGCGTATCGCCCGTTGTGGCAGGCACGAACGGCTAGTTGGTAATGTATTGCACTGAACTGCCTTTGCAGTTGCAGCTCGGCAGTACTTGCCTACGTACCACGACGAAAAAGAAACGTGCCGCCACCATGTACAATGTACATCGACACTTTTCACGAACCTTTTTCTCTATTGACATGCTGCTCCAACGGCAATCCCACTGCTTCAACGACCAGTCGCATCCTCAGGTTCTCTCCGCACTGTCTACGGATTCTCATCACTCCAGGTTATACCACCCACGGCGCCGGTGCAAGGACCGACGGATCTTGGCAAGCCATGAAAAAGAGAGTCGCGTCAGCCCCAGGCTCCAGTGACGTGGATTGCCTCTGCTGTTCAGTGCGCGGTCTACCGGCCTTCTACCGAGGCGCAAGTGGTGTCTGGCGATAAAAATGGGTCCATGGGTGACTGTCAGCGACTTGGTCCTCAAGACGAGCATCAATAGGGCCAGGCTGTCGAAGGGGACCGAACCGACTGTTGCGCGACGTTCATGAGCAAGGTCGCCCAGCTGAGCATGGTGTTGCACGCGGTAAGCATCCTAGGCGAGGGCGGTATTGATCGGCGTGTCACGTAACAAGGACCATGCAGCCAGTCCGCTTGACTTTTGGTGTTTGGCTTTGGTTCCCTGCTGACATTTGCAAGTTGGGCATCCACCCGTTTGGACGGTGGATTGACGTTTTAGGGTATCCGAAACAAACGAGGGAACTTGCAGCGCTTTGTCGGTGAATGCAACATGTCCGCGCCGTGATCAATCCTGTGCACTCAGCTCAGCAGCCACAGCCTACCGGCCTGGTAGCCTGCACCCCGCTCAGAAGGAAGCAACCATGCACTTCAAAGGCCGATGAAATTGATAGCATCAACTTGCTTGAGCCCTAACGAGGTACCCGTGAACTACAAAGCTCCATTGCGATTGCCCAGCCAGCCTTCTATGCGCCTATTGGATGCCCTAAGGTCCCACCATCCAGGCTTTCTGCATAGGGTCAGATTTCTTGGTTTCCGACTGGGGCTCATACAACAAGCCTCGCGATTTCAGCCATGCTTTCCTGTCCCAACCTTCCTCATCATGTACCAGGAGATGTCAGGATGTCGCCAGAATGCATTCCGAAAGTGTGCCAGTATAGCCCGATGACTACGTCAATTGGCCGCGAGCTCAAGGCTTTGTATGTTCCACCCTTGCTGGGTTGTAAGACTCGCTCCCTTGGTAGCTTGCTGGAGAACGACATCGGTGCATGGGTGCCAAGGCACTTCTCCAATCTACCAATGAACCGCCTACGCCCGGGTTGAGCAGCGTTCGCCATCTGCGAGAGACATCAGATCCATTCTTCTATGGTACCTAGTGGAAGACATGGACAACAAGCAGTGGTGAAATGCAGGCTAATCCGGGCAGAGGCTGACGCGGTTCTCACAGCCAATGGTTAGACGCCCAAAAAACCGCCTCACTAGTCGCCTCACTGAACGCCTTACTGAACGTGCCAACAGCCCCCGCGCAATTTCGCGATTGCGACGTTGCCGATCAAGAAAGTGGGGTGTTCATTCAGCAATCTGCCCGCAAGAACTTGTTTGGCATCGAATCGGATTACAAGCACTACTTAGGTCGGGTGACCGGTTAGACGTCCTGGAAACGTGCATGTGTGGGAGGCCATCCACACAAGGTGGACTGGTGGGCGGGTGATAGTGTCCGCCCACGCCAGGATCCCCTGACTAGCGCTCCATTTAATCACGTGTCGGGATGTTTGTACTAACAATTTCATGTTCCTGCCAGTTGGTCGATGCTGAACGAACGCTGCGCGACCTACCTTATGTTCCGCCAATCTCCATACTATTGGCCCGGACCATGTGAGAAATGCAGCGTTCTGCTGGGCCTTCACTGTGTATATTTGACAAAGTCTCACTGGAGAGGCTACTAGTAATTGTTGATATGCGCAGTCGAGGGTGGCACCCATTGCAACCGGCTCGTGCTATAGCCCGCAATTGTCGTCAAGGTTGCAGCGCGGCACGCGGGCTCGCGGCAACAAATTCGGACTGAATATGTGACAGGGCGCTGTAGCCAATTAATACCTTGCGCGTTTTTTGGAGGCGGTGGTGAACTAAGCCCAAGTGGTCAGCACGTCCATGCCGGGGTTCTGGTCGACATGGTTTGGCGCTTGGGCGCGTGGGCGGTCTACATGGGTCTACCCACGTTCACAGACTTCAGCTCCATCTCAACGAGCGGCTAATGGTGGGCGGTGCCACCCGTAAGGCCACGTACCTGGGCCCTACGGCACCTTCTCAGAAGTACCGATGGGTGCTGGCGAGTGGAAGCACTTTCTATGGTACCTTGACTACAAATAAGCTACTACTTGAAAGTCGTGTTGAGATGCTAGATAGCAAGTCGGATTTTCTGTTGCGATTCGCCCAGCTATAATGCAGGATACACAAATTTACCGTATCGCCATGGTCCGGCATATGTTATCGGAATGGATTGCTTCAGCTAGGACGATGCCAGGCCTTCTGCCGAATTATAAGACCCTCCGAAAGGTAGTCAGCGTGCAGGCGCACAACAGGATTGCGCATCAGATGGGGTTGGTCCACTAATCATTCGGCCGAGTCGAGTCACGCCAAACACCCTCTCACTGCGAACTTTCATTTGCTTCCGTGAAACATCACATTGAATGAGTCGACCTGGAGAGATGTTCCCTAGAAAAGCGTCTCTCGTTTCAGGATACAAAATGCTGTTAGGCATTTTTGGGTCTGCTTAGAAAACCAGCATAGGCAACCCTTCGGCTTTGTTTCTGTTGGAACAAGGGGCAATTGGAGGCAGCAGGAGATGGGAAGGCACAGGCCTGTCAGCCACACCCGGCGAGGTGGGGCCTGCCCCTCAGCCACAACGAGGGGCATATCCCACTTCACGTGGCCATCGGCTGAGCAGTTAGATTCCCCTTCTCAGTACCTCAATACAACAACCAGCAGCAATATCACCACTTTGACGTGACCGTTGCATCGAAATTCTGCAGAGCTGTATAAAGAAGCTATTCAAAACAACTCTTCCGATAGGAAACTCCAAACCGTTGCCAGCTAGACTCCTTGACTAATAGAGGCGGTAATATTGGCGTATACCCTCACATGGTCACTAGGACTAGCTAAGGGGTGCGGCGGCGATTCGTGTATCAAAGCAGAGCAAACCGCAAGCGCTTCTCTGCACTGCTCAAGCGGCGCCCAGTTGTTAGGAGCAGGTCAGGGCAATCAGCTGTACCACAAAGCAAAAGCTTCGGTATTGATGTTCTGTACTATATAGTTACGCCGGCCAGCACCCCAACTGGTTGGGCCTAATACCAGTCAGTTAATATCACAGTAAGTTTGCGTGTACTGGTTAGGGCACAAGGTAACATGAAAAGAGAATACTGTGTCAAGTATGGAGAGTTTGCAGCCTAGAACACAAAGACCATCTGTCATTCTACTTAGGCGGGAATGCCGCATCCGACCCTGATGACTGGTCGCCATGCATGGACGTCGTAAAAGAAACAGTGAGTTTTGCCATGGCAACAAGACGACTCGATATGCAGATCAAACAAACGTAGGACAAGAACAACACAACATCACATCACCAACACTAACCACCGACTGACCCTATACATACCCTCGTGCCACCGACAACAGGGCTCGCTTCAGCCGCCAAAGAGAGGGACCTGAACACTTGGAGAGAAGTGGCCAAAATGGCCTGCTAATACTATAACCCCCACGAGAAACCGCAAAGATTGGAAGGAGTAATCAAAGATGATACAGATGGGAATGGATCTTGCTTGTGGGCTTATCTGAGACCAGGGTAGACACTTAACAAGGGGAGCATGTAAGATAGATACAAGAGCCCTTTATGGATTAGCCAGGGCGTAACAAACTCTGTGTGTGTGTGTACTGTACAGTACAGCACAATTTGATGATTGTGTAGTTCTCAAGCTTCTACGTAAGCACAACGGCTTATGGGTCACAAAGAGTAGTGATCTCATCGGTACACAAATGCGAAATTTCTACTTGCGTAGTATAAAAATATTACCGTACTCGTGCAAAAAGTAAAGAAACCAGCGGGTGATTCTTACTCAACTTCAACACGGAATCTGTTTGCTTCCGTCACCAATTTCACGCCTGGTTATTTCGACAGCGGCATTGAAAAGCATTAAAAATCTGCTTTATGTAGGTATTCGAGTTTTGACCAGCAAGCCAAGACTAATACCAAACGCAGTGCGAGCAGACAATTTGTCTAAAAAGTCTCTGAATCTCGAGTGTCGATGGCTCCTTTTTCTACCCTTAAGTACAAGCTATGGGTGCTCGCAATGACTGCACAGTCTGCCATGGCCTTACCTATAACATGGGAAGAGGGCCTCATTCATCGGCGGTCTTTGGTGGATTCGTCCTTCAAGACAAGCACCATAGTTTTAGCTGTCCTACTAGCGGTTGAGAATCTTTTTCTGGCTATCATTTCGGTGTTAGGGATCAGATGGCTTAGCGATTGTTTCTCGTACTGAAGAGCAAGGCGTGCTCCCGACAATTTAAAAGTGAATGAGACGTCGCCATCAAAGGAGGCAGTGGCTCCGAGACACTGCTTTGAAAGAACTTGCAACTAAATTGAGATGTTTGGAAAGGTTCTGTACTTCATGCCCTATTGTTGAGTAATGCAAGGTTTCTGTTGGATGGGCAATCGAAGGCAACATGTAGATGGGAGGCACAGCCCGGCCAGCCACACCTGGCAAGGTGGAGTAAGCCACCCAGCCACAACGAGGGGCATATCCGACTTCACCTTTACTGGGCAGGGCACAGGGTAACGTGAAAAGACGTTACTGTGTCAAGTATGGAGAGTTTACAGTCTAGAATACTGAGCTACGATGTTTCTACCTCATTGTTTGTTCAGGGACCGTGGACACAATCATCCTTTTCAGCTACATTGCCACACTGGAAACCTGCTCTGAAATCGATGAAGCGCACCTGCATCTTCTCCTTGGCGTAGAAACGAGACACAACACACCTCCACATTATTGCAGTCGAAATCGTTCTTTGATGATAGTCCCAAGAGCCTGCAAGACCTTGTTGGTTTTGCTATCGAGGAATTCCACTCGGGGTCAGTATTTCCACCCACTGTGTTTTTTTTTTTTTTGAAGCATCCCACTGGTCTCAACACGGACGCCATGAATGACGATTATTGTAGAACCTGCAAGGCTACTTCTCGGGATTCCCGACATACGGTGAGTGCAGCAGGAGGAGCCGGAGGTACAACATTAAGTCCGTAGTCCCTTCTTTCCAGTCCACGGATGCGGGGTTCGAGTTCGAGTGTTTTTACCCAAACCATGCGTCTTGCCTCGGCAGGCAGTTTCAGGAACGGGTGAAAGGTCGGATACAATAGCCGCAATGCTCCCGCATGGTTCGTGTTCGGCTCATTTGGCATATCGCCAAGCCTAAGATTTTGATAATCATCCAGGTATCCGTCCGTCCGTTGGAACCGTTGGTGAACAGGCAGATACACTCTGTCAATGACGCCAATCAGGGATTTCGCCACAACAGAGTTGTCTCCTTGACTATCCATTGACCTAATAGTCAAAGTCCGACGGAGCGCGTGGAGTAGTCTCTGGAGCACCACTTGCGCGTTTGGCACGTTTTCGCCTTGCAAAAAGTTATCGAAATCCTCCAGCAAAGATCCGGATATCGGACTGTTGACATTTTGGGACCAGGGACGAAGATCCAGAAGAGTGAGCATGGACACGAAGTTGCAGACAAGCTGCGACCATGTCTGGCTTTGCAAAGCATCCCTCTGTAGCTCTATCAGAGCATCATGTCCTTCCTCAGAGGTTGACCAATCACAGAGAGACTGAAAGCTGACAGGCTGTGTTGACGACCAGAGGAGCAGAGGTTGGATCTTCTTGGCGGGATCCCTCAAGTGAGGACACAAGTGCAAGAGGTCATTGGTGAATGTGCGGAGGCTTTGGATTTGATTCGTACTCAGCTCCATGCGTAACTCGTCTATCACCCACTGCGGAATGTTAGTGGGAGGTAAGGCTATCAGCAGAGGAAACTTACTAGATCTCTGGGGGTCGCAACAGGGAGCGTAGACTCGACCAAGTCGACAAATTCGGAAACAGATTCCACAGACCAGTTGAGAAATGCAACCGTTTGCGACAAGGCCGTTGCCGTATCCGAAATAAAGTTATCAAAGTGTTTGTCATCGTCTTCGCCGAGGACAGATCCGTAGAAGCGGGCATTGAGCCCGTGAGCAATGTCGTTGCTAAGCTTTTTTGATTTCCAACCTGGATCGAAGCTCGATTCTCCCCCGGAGGACTCCAGAGCATGAATGAAGAGCGCAATACAGTGATAGTCTGTGCTTTGATCACATGTAGGCATTGCCTCTGAAAATATTCGCAGCGCACGATCCAGGTCTCTCAAGCTAAAGTTTCCGAGCTTCCAGTGAGAAGGAGAGACTTTGAAGCCAACCACAACCAGGATGCGTAGGAACATCATGCGAGTTTGGTCTGTACTGTTCTGCGATGTGTCAGTCATAAATTCCGATCAGTCTACTTTGGGAAATGTCACTTGCACGTAGATCGCGTCGGAACACAGCCCATAGAAGCCCAGGACGTTGCCAGTCCTGGCATCGAGCCATGAAGTACTTTGCCATTTCATGGCCTTCCGTACCACAGATCTCTCTAGAAGCGGTCTCGAGGAAGCGTGTTGAGGCTTTGACTATTACACTTTCGAAGTCGTAGTAGTCGATTTCCCACTCATATGGCAAGCCCAGACCATATGTCGGCCCGGAGAGAAAAATATCGGAAAAGGGGAACGGGAACGGCAAAATGCTTTGCGGGATGGCAAATTCAGAGTACCTCCCATCGTGAGTGACGCCGACAAATTTGATGGACGGGTACCGTTGAAAAAAGAACTGAAGTGTTTCCTCATTCGAACAGTTCTTTCTCGCAACATAATGGGGTAAAAAAAAAGACGGCTGGGGCCTTATGTATTAGCTTTGACGGCCTGACGAATGGAAGGTTATGAGTCCTACCGAGCAACGGTGTTCAACACTGGTGACTGCCGCCATGCTGACAGATGGAATGTCACTGACCACAGAGCTTGTAACGTAAGTAAAAGGGGTAAAGAACCCGGAAGAGGATCGGATGCATGATATGAGTTCTTATACACCCTGGAAATCACCCCCGCCCAGTACAAGAATTAGAACCCTCCGTCCGGACAAGGTTGATTCCATGGATCCTCAAGTATCACTCTTGATTCTTATTCGACTAGGTTCAATCGAATGAAGCTGCCATCGACCATGTCACCAGTTACCTGGTCAAGTCACTTGGCCAGGAACCTGGATACTAAGAGTGCCTTGCGCCAGGGGGTATCTCCTAAGGAACGGAGATGAAGGACCCTCAGTGCCAGAAGCGTTCACGGATGCCTCATTAACATCGTACGAATTACGGAACGCCTCGCCGTATCAGCTCCGCTTGTGTCGGTCCTTTTCAGGGGCTCAGCCGCAACATAAGATGCATTTGAACGTCATGGCTGCCTAGACACAGGGGCAAAGGATCTTTGGCGGTGTCATGGGTAGAGATGAAATCAATGCCGGAAGCGAGGAGGCGAGGTTGAAGCAAGACCATTGGTAGATGATGGACTCGATAGAGCCGGCGGTCAAGGAGCCAATATTGGTACTCAGCTCTCCTCAGATACCTGCCATATGCGGAAGCCAGACCGGTTCATGGACCGGCTCATACGATAGAGCTCGATCTATGGCCGCGTCAATTTGGCACACCTTGTTTAGTCTGTCTTGTGAACGCTTTGGCGAGGTCGTGGCGATACAACGTACCAGTGCTCAGGTGGCAGCCCGAATACTGGCTGTTGGGAAAAGAGCGGTGTTCCCGTCTCATTCCAAGGGAGTCGGATAGGACATTCGGTCAATCTAAGTGATGTTTTCATACATCTGGCGTTGGCTAAGGACTCTTGCCTAGCAACTCTCTTGGTGATCGCTTTAGCCGTTGAAGATAGAGCGGGCCAGAGGTTCTCTCTCTGCTTGATTCCGCGTCCGTCATGACTCCAAGAGTCTTGACGTGTTCCTTGGCCTGAAAGACTTAGTACTCTACGATAGTCGATTCAGATTGATATTCACGGCATTACTCGTCTCATAACAGCGTGTCTCTTTGGATCCTTTTCCATATTTGTTCCACAATCCCGGACAAGGTACTGTAGGCTTAGCGTTCACTTTCCACTTATCAACCACATTCGGGAAGCCTATCATTGGCTGTTGTTCTCCATTTGAGTAGGCATTTCGTCAGCTACAGTTACTTATCTGTCATGGCAAGGTAGTGTATGAGATTGACAAACGTTCACAGTCAGCGTCAAGGGTCAGAATCTCCTCAGAGAGGCCCAGAGAACCTGCTAATTTTGGAACAAGAATGACATAACATGCACAAGCCAGATACGCCCCTTGAAAACTCCAGGCCTGTCAGCCACACCTGCCAAGGTGGGGTCAGCCACTTAGCCACGACGGGGCATATCCGACTTCACCTTGCCGCTGGCCACGCAGTTAATTAGTTTAAGTTGTTGTTCTAGCCACCCATAAGCGGTCTAGTACAATTCACCCTCTAGGGAAATAAAGTCACAGTACGTATAACCTAATAAAGTAGCACCTCTGATCTGTGCTGGATCTCAATATATCAATACGGTACGAAATACCCAACAACGTGGAACGACTACTGGCCTAGATCTCACTTCAATCATGGCCACATGCGGGGCAACAAAGATGGCGTGGTTAGTGAGCGTACGTACAAGCAGAAGCATCAGCCACAGCCCTGACAGTGATGGCTTCATTCAAGCTACTGCCACGGTCGTGAAAACCTTGCGGCTTGGGCCACGTTGAACGGCGATGGCTTCAGTTCATCGAGTCTGCTACCAAGGTTCTGGAAACCTTATGGCGGGCCACGCAGTTATAACCCATCTCGATATCTCAATACAACATTCAACAGCAAAATCACCACTTTAAGGTTATCATTGCTATCAACTGTACGATTATCGCCTCTTGTGAGACCAACAGTCGCATGTAAATTCCGAAGGGACATTTGGGTGATCTTGCCCCAACACTATATCGTATTTGATTTTTGAGTATATTCCTCCGTTGGGTTGTCTTTTGCCCTTTCTTTTCCGAGCTCAGCTGTTTTCAGAAAGACGGACGATGATGTGCGTACCTCGTAAACCTTCGGAGTACGCACTGGCATGTTCTCATTGAATCCATAACCTGTTCTCATACTGCTGTCCATGGCACAAAGCCTAGCTTGAGCGGGTACAGGTCGTCGTCCTGGTGTCCGCTGCAAGCCTTCCTAGGTACGCTGAGTCTATGCAATCGATGTACCTACCAAAAGTTGACAGATCTACCTGTATATCCCTAAGTGAAACGGGAGGTTTGTTCTCAAGGGAGGCGCAGCAGCTGCCAGTGACCGGGTTGCGTGCGTGCGTAGTGTGAATAACTGAGGCGGTAACAAGGAACGGCGGCAAGAAGGGGCCGGCTGGGCCGCAGGATAAAAAAGGAAACCCCTCGCCGGTTGCAAGTATGCATATACCGGGGGCTGCACTTGCATTGGTGCGCTGTGTGGTATAATACAACCTGCTGATAGCCCTCGACCAGTGGGCTGAGTTGCACCATCCAGGGGAAAGGCAGATTGGAATAACAGTCAATACCCACCCCTACCTGTGCTTATCGTCGACCTCGTTACTCTGTACGACCCCAGCCTCTGACAGAAAGCCGAATTCACGGAAGTGAATCTTGCTTATGTGTTTATCCGAGACCAGAGTAGGAACTCAACAAGAGGGGCATGTAAGATAGACATAAGAGCCCTTTATAGCGGTGTTTTACGCACCCTACGGCGTCCAGGTTGCTGGCCGATGAGGTTCTACTGTTCAAGTGATGGCCTTTTCTAACGGTGTTATACCCCTTTGTTTCTGTAACAGTCGCTGAAAGTGACGCCGGTCGCAAGGACCTCTTGACTCTGCGATCAAACCAATTGGCCCAACGACCCAAAAGATCCACCAGTGCTTGCAATCGTGCAAGCCCTGCTGGCAGCACTGGTCCATATACCCTTCAGTAACGTACATCCTTCGGCTGGGGAATTGCGCTATTACAGTTTCTTAATACGTCCCTGTCATGTTTGCTGTGAAGGCCGATTGTACATTATCTCGACATCCGGTCCGCCGCAGCTGCTCCTTATATGCCCCCCAGGTCCCCCCCTTGACCGAGCTTAGTTCCCCTGGCTATAAGCACTAATCCCGCGGCGTTGTGCTATCGCCGATCTCTAACGTTGGCCCTAATGGCTAGCCTTTGTTGTCGAAGTTTGCGCTGGGCGCTTGGCTAGAATCCCTTTATGCTCCCTTGACTATGTGCCTGTGCGGTCCCAGCTGCCCGCCTACGGCCCCACTAGTGCCGCGCCGGTGCCCCCCCTTCTGGGCACCTGACACTTTCCCACGGTGCCTTTGGAAACGCTTCGACGGACTCTAGTCTGTCTACTGTTACTGTAGGTGTTGATATGCTACGGCCATCTTCTGGAAAGGCGAGATGTGCCTTTTGAAGCTCTGAGGTCTGATGCGTCGTAGCGGGTGTCTTATGGGTAGAGTCTGGAGATGCACCCAGAACTTGATCGCTTTCCTATCGCCTCTGCTTCGGCCACCGTATTGAAGGTCCCAATGGTTGCTTAGGCTCCCATTTTCTGTACCCTAATGATGACACCTCATCTGGGCTGCTCTGCACCTGTGTTTCCAAACGTTCGATGCATAGTCCATTGTCGGTGCTATTGCCGCCACGAAGAGTCGCCTTGCCGTCGACGGAGATAGGCCCTTTAGTCGTCTGAGTTCCAGTCCGGCTTCGAGGCCTTTCGTCGCCGCTTCTGCCACATGTTGTTCGAAGTCGAGTTTCGCGTCCATAATCACACGGGGCTGGTCAATTTGGTAACCCAAAGCTACATGTAGAGATAATTCAGTAATGACAGTTCTAGTCCTAAAATGATCTAACATCCGTAAAATAACTGCCATCTTCCAGAAAGTATTGACTAAACTGAGTATCGTTCAGTGAACATTTCCTCGGCCCGGAGGATATTCATGAGGAAACCTTCCTGGTCGATCTTCCCGTCAGTAAAAACCCTGGTGGGTATTCCTGTGTCAGGGTCCGGAGGGCGTCGCCGAGGGGGCGCGGGGGGGGGCACCGGCGTGGGCCCACCTGTGCGGAACATCATTAATGCGAAAGATGGGATCCCGGAGGATGCAAACAGCCAAGTGGTGATGTGGACAGCACGCGTTGCGACATTGCTGCATTGGTTGAGTTGTTGACATTATGGGCTCCAAGGTCTAGTCCGCGGTCTACAAAGTAGAACTGAAAACGAAGACATGTCTTAATTTGATGGTCGGCGACGGCTGAACCCATGATGTGCCTGAATCAGTCAGCCGTTGTGACAAATGTCCGGGAGGAAGCCCCGGTCGGGATATCCTTGCGGGCCGAAGCCGCTCGCCGACGGGCGAACGGGGCAGACGACCCCACCGCTGAGTCGGTGGGGTCGGCGACTTGAGAGCCACAATGGGACAGTCTCCGGTTCTGGATTTTGAACCAACAACGAGCAATTTGGGGCGGACTGGGGGTTCTTTGCGACCGGCCACCGCCGCTGTTACGCAAGCACTGATCCACGCGTGGGCGAGGTCAGGGGTTATAGGGCCTGGCAGGGATGTTGACTCTCTACACTATGAAAGTCTGGCCCGTGAAGCTCCAATTCTGGCTGTGGACAGGTTTGTTAGAAGTGTGGATGTGCGGTGCGGATCTGTTGGTGAGGACTCGTTGGTGTGAGGGCAGGTTGTAACGACAATCGAGCCATTTCAGGCTCCCCATGTTCACGATGGTTCCGATGTTCACAATGGGACACTCTGCGATGGGCGAGCCAGAAACGGCTTTGAAGTCATGTAGAGATAACTGGCGCGGCAAGCCGGCGAACCTCATTCCGGCCGAGCAAATGGCAAAGACGAAAGAATCCATTACTCGATACAGTACTCCGCTGCACCGTCCTGAAGACCATTTTCCTGCTGTGAATTGTCAAAGACGATGGCGGTCGTCTCCTCGGACGACTTCGTGTAGGAGTATGACAAGAAGACCAAGGAGAAGGTCCAGAAATGTGGCGGCAGCGCCAAACGCAAGTCGGTCTGACTGGACAGAGAGGCGAGGGTGTTCTCCGCCACAATACACTATAAACCGACCTACGGACAGCTCGACGGAGCTACCTACGTCCCCGAGGGTCAGAGCATCCCGGACGTCAACCAGTTTGTAAGCTCATTACATTTGGGGAAGAGAGGGGGGAAAATGTCTTATCGTAAGAGGTGTGACATAGACTAAGACGTACGTCAGCTACTAGGTTTGTATAACGGCCTGCAGTCCATCGACCGTCGACGCCGCAGCCGAGTACCCGGTCTACCGCCGCCCATCGGCGGAGAGAGAGCACGCCGATTTTGACGAGATTACGGTCGAGACAAGCGACTGCGAGGGTCAGGCGCCGTCGACCGGTGCGGGACGAAGACGACACAGAAGAGGCAGAACACGCAGAGGACGTAAGGGAAGACGCCGACGCGGACCCCAAACTGGCCGTGGAAGACGGTCAGCACGACGCGGATGCGGGAAATTTGCGGAGATGCCGCCCATAGCCCGGACGTCGTCAACAGCGACAACAACGACAACGGCGACGCCGCCAGTTCCCCAGAAGCAATCGTCGTGACTGCTGCAACAGGGACAGTGACGAAGGACGAAGGTATGGACGAAGGGAACGAATTCGCGGGCCGCGGCGTTGACAGGGTGCCTCCTGTCAGGGACGAACCCGCCCCCGAACGAGACATGCGATGTGGTGGCCGCCGACTGTCAATTAAGCACGATAGGCGACTTGGACTGGCCCGAGCTTGGGCTTGAGTCGGCAACAGAAAGCGAGCCGTTCATACCCGACTGGCTAATGTTGGGAGTGGAGGGGACGGAGGGGACGGAGGGGACGGAGGTCGCCCCAAATGGCGAGGCGCCGCGCGTGGATACGGAACCCACGACGCTTTTGGGGAGTGCGCAAACAAAGAGCGTCATGAACCGACTTTGCTTTCCCAAAGTGTGTCGCAGCAGCTTCGGCGCGCGAGGCAGAATCGCATGAAGAACGCGGCGACACACGACGCCTCGGCCGATGGCGACAGCGCGCAAGGACCGTTCGAGCATGTTTTCCGTGGTGACCGTAAGCAAGACTCGCAGGCCGGCGCGGGAACACAAGGCGGAATGGGGTTGATGACCAGCCCAGCGGCAGCCAAGTCCAGAGCGGGTGCAGACGCTCTGACGCAGGGACAACTCTGCTTCTGCTTCCTTCAGGCCCTCGGCCGGCAAATTCATTTTCAGACCCAGGCCAGGCCCAGAGAAAAGCGGCGCACGGCGGCGGCGGTCGCAGTGTAGGCGGGGTGCGAGCGGCCAGCTGGGAGGCTTCGTGTCGGATGCGTGCCGGCCTGACTCCGGCGTAGGGACACAAAACACAGAACAACAACGAGAGATCGAGATTGTTGGCTGAATCGCTTTTCTTATTTCCCTTCATATCTTCCCGACTTTGTTGTGTGCGTGGATAAGCTGAAGTACTGACGTAATCATTCGCCGATAACCAGCCTCGGAAGGCAGGTGGTGGTGGTGGCTTCTTCAGGTCTGACGGGTTTCCATTCCTTCCTTCTTGACCCAATCAATTATCCAGTCAGCTCGGCTGGCAGGCAGCTACCTCTCTCTCAATAAATTAACTGCTTGGCGCTTATCCTCCATCGCCATCATCACCACAGCCGTCTGCGCGATCATCCTCGATTTCAACTCTTTCGTCCAAGCACAGAGTGGACGACCTTCCGCTATACCTTGCGACAGGATTTTGTTCGGCTCTTCGCTTCGCTTGGGTAAGTCACGTCGGCGAAATTGTACCATACTCTAACTGTCTGTAGGTCGAAACACCCTGCGCGGTGCGCCTCGATATTGTCTCTCGCCGTTGCAGCCGCCGTCTGTCAAAATCCACCCTCCTCCGCGTCCACCTTTATTTCCTCCTTTCCTGCCGTCCCGATCATCGCCTCCTTACAGCAGCCAACTGCCCTTTTCCCTTCGAAGAGGCTTCTCGGTAGCCAGCCCAACCTTCACCTCCGAATCGCTCCTTCCAGCCTTTCGAGTGCCGCCAGTCAACCTGCCAACTCTTCAACCCACGCCGATCGCAGCGAAAACGGTCATGGCGCAGCTGCCCTTGGAGTTGTAGTGCGACATCATCGGGCAACTCGAGCCGTCTCTGCGAAACGCTGCGCTCAACAACCTCTTCCAGTGCTCTCGTAAGCTTTGGAGCCAGCTCGACGGCACACTCTACCGACGAGATGCTCCGAACGGCTTGTCCGTACTATGGGCGACGGCGCGAGGGGATGCCGTTGCTCTCCAGAAAGCCATCCGTCATGGCGTCCCCGTAGACGCACGATGGCCAAAGAAGTGAAGGAGCCCCTGGAAGGAATCTTGCCCGGTAAAGTGGCTCGCCTTCAAGCACAAGGTCAAGGGTTACACGGCGCTGCAAGTCGCTGCTGTGCTTGGTCATACCCACCTGATCGAAATCCTCGTCAGTGCCGGCGCCGACAACGCCGTCACAGTCTGCTGCTGGCGTTGTGAAGCCGATGCGGAAACCGATGCGGTTCACGACATCACACCTAGAGCAGCCAGAAAGACACCGCTCCACTTGGCCATATGCCATCACAACTGGGACACGGCTAAGGCTATCGTACGCTACGGGTCCCTCTGATAGTGGACGGTCCTGAAGGCCCAGAGGATGTGCTCGGCTGGATCGACTACAACGGACCAAACATCCGCAACCTGTCGGCTCTTCACGATCTGAGCCGCCGCTGGGCGCCTGGACACGACGCCTGCGACTTTGCCGACTGGCTAGTGGCACATGGCGGCATCGATATCAACACAATGATGGACCAAGGCATGACGCCTTTGGCGACGGCGTGCGCTGCCGGAGAGTTCAAGCTGACCCACCGGCTGCTGTGTCTGGGCGCGAACTGCAACGACAGCGTGCCGACTCGGCCTACAGAGACGCTGATCCACGTCGCGTTGAGAGCCTGCAACGACATGGGCATGCGACGGTCGGCGGCGACGACGAATATTCGCTTTACCTCTCAGGACGAGACGAAGCCTTCGACACGATACTAGAGGTGATGCGGCTGCTGCTGCATAAGGGCGTGGCCGTCGACGCGACAGACGGCGCTTCATGTCGCCGCGACCTTTGGCGGGCTTGGTGTCATCGAGCTCTTGCTGAGAAGCGGAGCGAACATGGAGTTGCAGGACGCCTCCGGCGCGACGCCCTTGGATCTTGCAAAGAAGCAGAGCCCGCTTGTGACGCCGGCCCGATGGTCCAGACACCCAGGCTGCGGGCCGTCGCCGTCCCCTACCACTGGCGACGACATCGGATTTGTGGCAGCACGGTACCGCCCTCTACTCGCCGCGGCCTAGGCGGCACGCGCGTTCGACTCCGACACCCCGCAGTTCACGGATGAGGCTGGCAGGGTGGTTTTCGAGTTCAGCGAGATCCATACATCGCACGCTACGAGCAACCTGCGTCACCAGTGCTGGGTGGTCGTCGACGGCCGGGATCCGACTCTCGAGCATGTCTCCCCTCTCTCTTCGACCTACCGGGGTGGAAACCCTTCTCTCGGGTTCGCCCTCAGCGGAATATCGGCGGTGTTCTGGGCCGCCGAAGGCAGGCCCCGAGTCATTCTGAAGTTGAAGACGTACGATAACCATGTCAAGGCTTTACGGAAGCACATTGTAAGAGTGGAATTTCGTGACTCCCGCAACAAGACCTGCTTCTTGCGATTCGTCCTCCCGTTCGTCCTGACTATGGAGGAGAAGTCCAGGTAAACAGTCTAGCTAGTTGACGCAGCCATCCAACTAACCGACCCTTTCCTTAGATCGTTCGTTCGCCGGGCATGGAAGAAAGGAACTACGTAGGAAGGTGACGCGGGAAATACTTGCTGGATGGGATGGCTTTGACTCATTTGCTTCGATATCGTACTTGCACTTTGCCGGAGGCCAAGCCTGCGAAACACTATCATATGTATACCCGCCGTAGCATGTTCAAGCTGTAAGTGTGCTTTACATAACAACTCTTGCTTAGGTCCTCACGAGTTTCTGCATCCTGCCGTGAGTCGCTGTGACGCAAGCGCCCGAATCTGACGAACTTCGAATTGTCGCCCTTGAAGAAGCAGCGACGTAGATGATGGCGGCGACGACGACGACGACGACGACTATGATGATACAGCGCTAGATGGTTGCCGCGGTGGCTTTATCTCGGCCTTAGAGAAACGGGAGCAGGGCGCGCCTCGTCGCACCTTCTCCGTCTTTTTTTTTTGTCGCGCCTTCCCCCTCGGCCCTTGTTGCGTCTGTCTGATATCTTCCCCTCCCCCGACTCGAATCACTCGTCGTTTTCTTTTCCTCATGATCAATTTGATCGTGCCCTCCTGCTGGTTGACACGTCGCGCCGTTATCAACTTATTGGCTGCCGCTGGCGATAGCAGCTCTAACTCCACCGCCAGTAACATTTATCAAAAACTCCTCTTGAGCTCCAAATGGCTGACGTCGAGCAAAATCAACGACTAGAACAGATTTTCTCGCAACACCACCCGGAAGACGCGCACTACCGACGACGGCGGCCACTTGCAAGGCCAAAAACAGACCACCTGTAGCCGTGGCATGCATGACAAGACGACTTACACACAGCGTGGTCCGTCGGTGAACCAGATAAATATCCCGGCTTCCAACTGTTTACCGTGCCGCAGCTGATTTTCTTCCAGGCGCCAGCGCTTGCTCCGGATTCCGAGATCCTTCTTTCAACAAACAAGCCCGAGACGAATAAGCCCGTCGGAACCCTCGACCGCCTCCCGTTCTTTCCAGTCGAAATCATCATGATGATCCTGGAGAAGCTCGATTGGGAATCGCTCCTGCAGGTGATACGTGTCAACAACTTCTGGTTCCGGTGCAGTAGCGACATCTTGTAGCACAGGACTAGCATGTCCCGGATCTCGACACCTCACATGATACTTCGAAGAGCGCAGTTGTATGCCGACGCAATCACCACCATGTCGACTTCAGATCTGGACTCTAATACCAAGCCTCATGCGATATACGGCCAGCCGGCTGAAAGCACTGCGCTTCCCGAAGCTGCTCGCGCTCCAAGGCCTCAGGGTTAAGGGCAGCGACCAGATATCCTCCTGAAACACCTTGCGCGGACCGCGCCTGGCCTCGGCACGATCGAAATCGAGACATGGCCGCAGACAGCGCGCTAACGGAGCTCAGTGTTGTGCAGCGCAAGTCGATCCCTTGGGCTGCATTCCCGCTTGCAGCCCACCACCTCTTGGAGATGGCCACGTCGACACGGTCAAGAGCAGACCGCCCTGCATATCACCCAGGCATCTGATCGCTTGGCCTCTTGTGGCCTCTCGGCCATGGCGCCGGGTAGCCGGTATCGATATGGTCCCACAACACGTGCGAGCCTTGACTTCGACGACATTGGGCTCGTCGCAAAGCGCTATCACTTCCTCCTCAACCCGACACAGTCCACGGTCATCTTTGATATCAGCAACCGGTCAAACATCGAAGCTGGAACCTGGGTCTTCAAAACCATCACCATGCGGGCGCCGCAAGCCTCCTGTGCCATACACTATCAATACTGGGTGAGCGAAGCCCTGCGCTCACGCATCGTGTATCGCCCATCATACAAAGAAACGGCCATCCAAGCCTGGAATTTCCGGTCGAGACTATTTGCGCTGTCTTTTGGGCACCAGGAGGGCGAGTGAGCCCTGGAACATCAAAGCTACGACTATCACATACCAGCCCTCCGGAAACAGATCCTCCGGGCGCAGTCTCTGCGCCGTCACCTGCTTTGGCTTCTAACTCCCCTCAACGTTTCAACCCGCTGTCTACTCTGCCAGTTGCCTTCTCCCGAACCCCCAATTAGAGTCCAGGTCTCAAATGGGGGCCATCGTAGCAGCTACGCTTGAAGTGTGTTATGCCAAGAGCGCCCTGCCAAGAGCAGTTTAACGGCTGCGATGACCGCTTTACGCCATGATTTGGGCCGATCTTCCGTCCTAGCGTTATAAGGAGCTGGTCAAGCGCGCTTACAGAGTTCCGCGAAGAAGAGATGATACGAGAAACGAAGTTGGAGACGCCCGAGATTGTTAGCAGGGACGAGGTCTGCTTCGCTGGATGTGAAAAATGCTGGTTTCTGCATTGAGGTGGGGCGGCCTCTCACTTTTACTGTTCACCGTCAATCCAGTATCCTTATCTGAACACCGCTCCTCCGATGCTTGGGTTGCCACAGACTCCTCGGCCGAAGAGAGAGCGCGAGCCGATACCGTAGTCGTCGCCGCCGCGATTCGCAGAGTAGTCGCCTGCCAAGCATCAGGCAAGCCTTGAAGATCTGACGTTTTGCTTTACTGAATTTCCCATTAAGTTTTACTACGTCTCAACAAGAACCTCAAAATAGAGTTACTGAGGTCTGAACATTAACAGTGGTTGGGAAAGTCAAAATCTGAGATCTTGAAGTGTAAACATGCTTCTTATCTGTGTGGGTGCTTTTCTGGAGATACCTTTTTGTTAATAGAAGGTTTTAACTATCTCATGATCCAGAGGCCGGCGAGAATGTTTGCGATTGTTCGTTGGGATGCACATCCCTGTCAGAAGGTCGCTTTTTGACAGAAGTGACATCGAATTATTCGTCCTCCTAGCTGGAGATCCTTTGTAGGCTTCATACTGTCAATACAGCCAATCTGGCTTCGATTTTGAAAAAACGTGCCGTTCTTGCAGGCACAGTGCAAGCGCTAGTGGTCACTTCTACAAGACTGCGATCTTTGTCAACAGTTTCAGGATGTCTAATTAAGTTTATGAGGTGGCAATAACAAGCCGAAACTGTCAACTATTGAAGAGTCAACAGCTCCCCAAGTAGACCATTGTCCACACCGAGCCCCAAACTATGAAAATGTCTTCCTCTCTTCTCGCCGACTAGAAATTTTTTCACAGTATCATCACTTTGTCATGACTTTGACCATGGCACCTGGAGGAACCGGCTTGGGAAACCAGGCCATATTGGCCAAGATTGACAAGCTAAGAGAGTTGAACATTGGTGCGACAATCCCATTGCCCCAGGTAAGTCAAACTAGCATGTTTACTTTCAGATAGCTTATGTCGTGATAGCTTGTCGTCGTTGGAGATCAGTCGTCTGGGAAAAGTTCTGTACTGGAGAGCCTGACAGGATTCTCTTTCCCTCGCGCCCCCGGTCTCTGCACTCGCTATGCGACTCAGATTACATGCTGTCGCGAGCCGGAAACGTCCATCCGCGTCTCTATCATTCCTCGTCCTGGCGCAGCTGAGATTCTCAAGGCTGAGCTTCTTGAATTCAAGCGCTACTTATCGAGTATTGATGGCGATGACTTCGTCCAGGTCTTCAAAGACGTTTGTGATAGCCTCATTGATTTGTTTTGCCTACACTAATAGCGTTTCAGGCCAACGGTGCTATGGGCATTCGAATGGATGCAGCTCAGAAAGATGATGGGCTTGCGGCGTTCAGTGAAGACATCCTCAAGATCGAGATCAGCGGACCTGACGTTAGTTCTTCCCAGCTTCCTAGTTCCTTTTTCTTTGACTCACCTTTGATTAGCAAGACCATCTAACGGTTATTGATGTCCCGGGAATTTTCCGTGTGCCCACGCCAGGTAAACTACATCTAGTCCACTAGAAGTAGGCACCCACCGGTTGACGGGCGTGCAGGACTCACCACGGAAAGCGATATCGTTCTTGTCGAGAACATGGTGAAGTCGTATATGGTTAACCGCCGAACTATGCCAGTCTCAAAGATTCCACCTAAAAAAGCGACCAGCTAACTTGTGGCAGCATACTTGCAGTCGTATCGTGTAGCGTCGACATTGCCACTCAGGAGATTCTTAAACTTGCCGAAATCGCTGATCCTGAGGGTGTGCGCACGATGGGTGTACTCACGAAGCCGGATCTCGTTACAGAAATGGCCACCCAAGGTATGATCATTGATCTTGTTCTTGGAAAGCGCAGTACCCTCAAACTTGGATACTATGTTGTCAAGAACCGTAGCGCAGATGACAATACCTCGACGCTCTCTCAGCGTGCCGCTGCCGAAAAAGCGTTTTTCATGGCACCTGCTTGGTCATCCGTCAAGGATCGCTGCGGCACGTCGTCCCTCAAACTCAGGCTCCAGGAGTTGCTCTTCCACATTTCCAAGCAGGAAATTCCCCATGTTAAGTCGGATGTTGAGCAGCGTCTACGTCAGTTTAGGGCTGATCTAGAAGCCATGGGGCCTTCCCGAGCCGATCCGAATTCCCAGAGGATGTATCTGGGTAAGCTGGCCTCTAGATTCTTGGCCGTAACTCAGGCCGCTTTGAATGGATACTATGCCAGCGAAAAGATCTTTGGAAGGCTGCCTGACCTGAAACTCATCACGAAAATTATGAAGCTTAATGAAGTCTTCTCGAACGTTTTCTGGAAACGCGGTCACAAGCAACACTTCGGCCCTACGTGGGACGATGAGGGGGAGGACTCATTTGGACGCACCATCGACCAGCTTCCCTTTGAGATCAACCTCGCTAGATACTCTGAACTTGGATGTATAATTTGTACGGATGATTATCAATGCCCCAAGCCCTTGAAGGGTCCTATCATGAGCCACATCGAGGAGGTCTTTGAGTCAAGCCGTGGACCCGAACTTGGAACAGTAAGTGCTGCTGGCTGCGGATTGCATCATAACTAATTCATAACATCATTTAAGTTTGGCGGAACGATCCTTGCCACAGTCTTTGAAGAGCAGTCGGAGAAATGGGAGCAACTCGTGTTGTCCCATGTGAGCAACGCAATTGCGCTGGTCCACGAATACATTTTTCAGCTTCTTACTGAGTTGTGCCCAGAGAAGCAGGTTAGAGACAACCTATGGGACAATCTCTTACTCGACAGGCTGGTGAACTCGTACCAGCGGGCAATGAGCCACTCTCGCTTCCTTCTAGATATCGAGCGTGGAGGTACGCCGAACACTTTCAACCATTACTTCAACGCAAACCTTCAGAAGAAGCGATGTGAGCGGATGACCAAAACGTTCAACGCTATGACAATTGACTCACCCTGGGGGGAAGAGAATGAGCGATACGTGCCTATGAGCAAAATAGGTCAGCATGCTGTCAACAAGGATAACGGGCAGCAGGTGTGTGAGGATATCGTTGATACTCTAATGAGCTACTACAAGGTATCTCGCAAGCGCTTTGTCGATGTCGTTTGCCAGCAAGTCATTTTTCACCTCCTGCTTGAGGGTGGCGGCAGCCCGCTGAAAGTTTTTGGCCCAGAGCTGATCATGAATCTCGACCACGACAAGCTTGAGCAGATCGCGGGGGAAGACGCGGAGTCGAAACACCAGCGGCAGGCCTTAAAAAGGGAGGTGGCAAGCTTCGAGGAGGCCTTGAAGGTCTTGCGATCTTGAAAACAAGACAGATTACGAAGCCCAGCCTCCGCGAAGTCTAATGGGAATCGGCGTGGCCGGGCGCGGCTGTTCAACACAGAAGCCAGATATAAGAATGCAACTGCTATTGTTCATTCATGATGTCGCAGCCCGGAAAACTTGGGCAGGTGTGCCACTGGCTAGGCCTTGGAGGTACGACTAGTGATCATGAATTCAATATCGTTACACTGAATTGAACCAAACAGGACAAGTGACAGATCTTCAGTATGGTCAACAGTGGCATAATGAATGGGGATAAGTGTTGTTGTTTTAGAGCGATCTGCTGGGCACGCAGGTGATTTATACAAACGAGTGGCATATGTCCCTTGCCACGACTAATGACATAGAAACCCTATACCGATTTGCTGAGGACTGGGAATACCGCATCGGTAACAGCGCCACGGTACGGATCCCGACATACAAGCTGACACACGGCATAAGTACTACCTCAATAGACATGGACCGCGCTCCACGGAAATAAGAGGCGACCTACTCCAGGACGTCAGGTGCCCGGAGGGGGGCACCGGCGCAGCACTAGTGGGGCCGTCGGCGGGCAGCTGGGACCGCACAGGCACATAGTTGAGGGAGCATAAAGGGATTCTAGCCAAGCGCCCAGCGCAAACTTCGACAACAAAGGCTAGCCATTAGGGCCAACGTTAGAGATCGACGATAGCACAACGCCGCGGGATTAGTGCTTATAGCCAGGGGAACTAAGCTCGGTCAAGGGGGGGACCTGGGGAGCACATAAGGAGCAGCTGCGGCGGACCTAGGTGAAAGGCAGATTGGAATAACAGTAAATATCCACCCCTGTTCTGTGCTTATCGTCGACCTCGTTACTCTGTACGACACCAGCCTCTGACACAGGACAACAACGCATTCCTCCCCACCGCAGAGATCAAGTAGGTAGGCTGGCTGACCCGCTCGGGCAACCAGGAAACCGCTTTATCTGTGGTAGTTCAGTTCTCTAAGGCGGAAGACGAGGACTCATCTAGTAGGGCCAGGTACTCTATTCCACTGCGATAAATACGACAGATAATGCCGTTTGAGGCAATGCTTCAATTGATGCATACGGCCACATAGGAATCCATTGCAAGGCAACAACAACATGCGGTCACTGCGCGCAGGAGCATGAGACCCGAGACTACCCCTCGAGGAACGACAAAACGACATCTAGGAAATGCGCATGCTTCTTTATTAGCAAGAAACTTGATCACTCCAGATGGCACTTCAGAGAGAACAGCAGAGACCTCTACAGTCTGACAATCACAGCAAGCGACGACATGGAAACAAGCATAGTATTACATAACGGATTTAACCCGTCGCTCCAAGAAGACGGCCAACATAGAGTTTCAGAGAGAAACTGAGGGCAGCACTAGAAACAAACCCACATGACGAACGGATTGTCGTCGGGGAATTCAACCTCCACCATGAGCTGTGGGGAGGCAGCATCCGATCAGGAGGCCCCGAAGCGAACGAACTTATCGAGCTCATGAACGATCTCGACCTCATGAGTCAACTGTTTTCTATTTACCGATGGTTCGGATCCCCCGCTGAGGAGGTTAGCTTTGTGTGGTGCTTACTGTAGATGAATATTGTAGACTCTCTCTGGGGGAAAGGGAAAAAGGAGGACGGGCCATGAAAAAAATAAGAATCCAGCTATCTTGCCTCCACAGCACCTACCAGGAACTAGGGCCTCGATCGCCATGCGGACGAAGGCTGAAGCGGCGGTGGCCTTCTAGACCGGGTTTCTATTCGTATCAAACCCCGTTGGTTGTGTCGTCTTCACAGACGGCTCCGAAGCCCCCAAGGGAGCCAGGGGATGTGGTCCGTTGTCTTCCGAGACAGCCGGCTTATAGCCTGAGGACCTTCGGCCCATGACTGCGGTAGGTCTCGCCAAGGTGTTCTGCCCTGAGGCAAAAGCGACCCAGGCCCGAGCTGCGGCGCGCTTTGCATAACGCGGAAACACGTTAAGATTTACAGAATAATTCGGCCACTATCCGGTGCCTTCAGGAGGCCCTCGGGCAATCTCAAGGGTAGTCTTCTTCAACTGCCACCCAGTGACCGGGGTGCGCAGTATACACTGTACTGTCTGTAAGTCGCTAAAGGATGAGAACAACGAAGGGTCGAATCAAGTTGAACATTCCTTCACTGTAGCAGACTCGCCCTACTTGTATGTTCTCTGATTACGATACACTCAAGGGCGAAATGTGATAACGTGAAAATACAAAGTAAAATAATGACACATGCTAGAGATCACCATAGGATCGGCTCGCCACCATCCAGTCCTCGGGTGTGCAATTGGAGTCGATCCCTCCTCGAGCCTGCCGCTCGCATCCGCAAATTGACCGTCTTTGTCTCATTCCGTAGTGGCTCCGGACTGGTCGTTGTTTTGGTAGGTGACAGCGCGCCGGGAGATTTTTGTGCAACCCAGACATCCCTAACTCCTGGCGCGATCACACACTTCCGCTTCAGCGAAGCTTCCTACACATGTAGCGTGCAGAAGCGCTTGCGCTTGGCACGGTTACAGTATACCCTTTGCAGAGCTCTTGGAATAAACCACCCCTCAGCGAGCATCGGTGGTTGCTGGAGGGTATGTCATAAACCAACTCATCCGGGAAAATCTCCTGACCGCTTAGCTAGCGTATCCGCAAAACACATGTGAACATTGTGGGCGGCAAAGTGAGGGACAGGCTACGGTCAAAGCTTTTCCCACAATGGGACAGCTGAGGGAATATTCTTTGGAGTCCGGCAAAAATTTCCTTTATCGGACGTGGAGGACAACGGAGACACTTGCTTCGACGTCTGACCCGACCCAGCGGCAAAAAGGCTGATCGGCCTCTCGTAAAACTGACGTCACCAAACAACTGTCAGTCTTTGCGTAAGCAAAACATTCTTGCATCTTGGTCAAAAAGCAGATCGGGCGCTGCGGTGGGGCGAGACGTAAAGCATCAGATGTAGGGTCACGGACTGAGCAAACAGCCACATTTGGCTCCGGTTGAACTAGGTCTAGACCGGGCGACGAGTTTGTGGGATGACCGGGGTGCCGGGGCTAGACTGGAGACGAAACTGGCTCCTGCGGCCAGATCTGGCGCTAGCATCTGGCACTTGCATCCTGCCGTTTAAAGTGGACGGACCACTCAAGTCCGCGCGCTCTTTCGCCGACAGGTGCTGTTGCTGCGGCTGCGGGATTGTTGCGCCGTTTTCGCTCTTCGATAACGGTATGGACATATTCTCGAAAAGGGCGGATTGCATAGTCGCAGTCGAGATCAGTTTCCAGTTCTTGATGGAAAACCCCATTTCAAGCGCGCCTTTTGTGGCTGCTCTCGCTCGCATGGAATATGAAGGTCAACTTACACTCTTGGATGCAGTTATTTTTTGGCTGCTCCCTCTAACAGGGTACGGAAAGGTCAGCACACGTTAGGGTCGCAACGGAAACCGGTTTCTGGTTCTTGACCTTTGAGAAATCATTTATCGCAGCCATCCATAAACAGCCGCGATGAATTAAACCCCCAAAGCCAACGACCGGGAGTCGACTTCGTCCACAACTCTAGAAGCTCCAGTCGCGACCGAAATCAAATTCTGGTTCCTGATCCAGAAACTCTATCAATTCGGCCATTTGTGGCTGCTCTCGCGGACATGACACGCCAAGGTCAACGTGAAGTGGTCGCTGGAAGCTGACGCTGTAAGCTGACGCTGTTTCTTCGTGAAAGCCAGAAACATCGTTCTCATCGCCCTAGTTGCTAAGTTGGATTGTGCTCAAAGTAATCTATTGCTTTCTCAAGATGGTGCTGTCAACCATGTCATCGCATAAGCTGAAAAGACTCTGGAAAGCGTAGTCCTTTTGTGACTTGCCTCATTTTTGTTTGAGCAGTAACACTGCTAGCCTGTTTTCACCCTCCAGTGGATGAAGATTGTAAATGAAGGATTCCATTCTCACGGCACCAGCATGACACCATTTTCGTTTTCGGGGTCTAGATCTCTCAAACTTTACTGTACTTAATCACTCCTCTGGTGCTTGAGTCCGCCGGCCGCTCCGTCCGACACTCGAATCCTTCGGTATCATCTCGATAACTCCGCCATGGACTTTGACACGTCTCTCTTCCACAGTGGAGCCTGGGATGCCACACGAGACGGCCGCCACGAACCGTCTGCCACGAACATCCCGCTGCACTACGAACGAGCCAGAATGCTTTGCTTGAGCAGAGGTGCGGGGCCAAGATGCGCCGGTGACGGCCGACGAAAGGCTGAACGCTAAACGAAACTTAGGCCTGACTGTCGACGACATTCTCGAACTATCGCCGAAGTTTTGGAAATTCCATTTCGATCGTACGTTCTATTAAGTGTGTTTGGCGCGAATCATGCTGACCGAGCCAATACTAGCTGTCGCCGCTCGGGATATGACGGCGTTCGTCATCGCCACCATCCACCTCAACTTATGTGTCGGCACGATTGCGCGATTCTCCCGCCAAAGACCTGATCTCAAGGCCACACTTGATGACCTTCTGAGTTTCAGGGCATGTGGGGAGTTCATGTTGACAGAAGTAGACCACGGTCTCGATGCCCGAAATCTGGAAACGACTGCGACGATGGAAAGCGATGGATCCTTCATCCTGGATACGCCGACGGCGGGCGCCGCCAAAGCGATGCCTCCCACGTCGCCGTTGGCAGGCATCGCTCGCGTCGCCGTTGTTTTCGCTCGTCTGATTGTGGATGGTGACGACAGAGGGGTGAAGCCGTTCGTCGTGCGGATCAGCGATGTAGGAGGGATGTGTGCCGGCGTTGTCTCGCGCGTTCTACCCGTACGACCTGGGACCAAGCCGCTCGACCACTCTATCACGACGTTTCGCCACGTGCGGCTTCGCCCCGGAGCGCTTCTCGGGTCGGCGCTGCGGGCCGACAATGCGCGAGAAGACTTTCTTGCCCAGATCTGGAGAGTCTCTGTCGGCACGCTTTCTCTCTCCATCATGGGGGTATCCGCCATCAGGGTTGCCGGCTGCATTGCTGCCATGTACAGCCAGCGCCGGTTGGTTGGAGATGTGCAAAAGCTGCCCATCCTTCAGTTCAGCACGCAACAGCGGCCGATCTTGAAAGCGCTGGCGCACGGGGAAGTCCTGCATGCCTACGCATTATGGAGCGTTGGCGAGTTCATGAACCCGAAACACGACGTGGACGTTCGCAGAGGGATCGCCACGGTCTTCAAAGCGCTGGTGGTGCGGTCGTCCCGTCTGCTTTCTGAACTGGCAGAGCGATGTGGCTGGCAGGGCTTGTACGCGTACAACCAGATAAGCGAACTCGCGTCGACCTTCCAAGGAAACTCCGTGGCCGAGGGTGATACTCTGGTAATAAGCATCCGTAGGTTTCCCCCTCCTGGAGTGTGAGGTCGCTTACTGATCCTGGCGCCTACTAGGTCTTGCTTCCGAAATCCTGACGAACAGATATCGTCTTCCACAGGCGGCCGACCCGACGCTACCTCTTGCGCTGTATGAGAAAGGCATGTTTGAGGAGGCCGCCGGCAAGATCACGCTCGCCTCTGGCGCATCCGGCAGCCTGAGGGGCACATTCTACAACAACAGCATTCTCCCTCGATGTAGGACGATGGTAGAAGCCATCGGGCAACGCATGGCGCACGAGGCCGCGCAAGCGCAGGGCGACATTGCGCCGCAGGTGCTCGATCTATTCGAGAAGTCTTGCATTCAGGAGGACCTTAGTTGGTTTGTCGAACACGGCCATGGAACCCGATCTAGGTTGTGGGATGACGAGGAACAAGCATATCGCAACCTGTTGCCCCTTCTACCCTCGTTGGTAGAGAGGGCGAACGCACGCGCCTACATCACGGCCCCGTTGGTTGATGGGACAGCAATGAAGGGGTTCATCAGGGCACTACCGGCGTTCGGCAACAGTGAGGATGATGTTCTGGCAGAGAGGGTTCTCAAGTCGAGACTTTGAGTTGGGAAACCAATTTCGATAGCTCACAACCCATCGCTCGCCACCAATGTTGAGTGGTCCTTCTGACGTCGTCTCCCACGGTAGACAAGCCTTGTGAGGGGAGGATACTACGTATGCTCTATCTTGGTGATTCGATGCTTGATGCACTCTCCAATTGCATCAGTATGTCTTACATTGCTGGCTGCCACGCTTTCACTTGACACCCTGCCAGCCAGGCATAGCTGCTGACATATTAGCGGTTACAAAATCATGTGAGAATCAATCAATCAATCAAGCCACCCGACAATATGTTAGATTTCCTCACTCGAGTTTACTTCTAGCTATGTTTTAGAACAGCAATGAAGATGAATGTCATTTTATCTTTATCTTATATTTAAGTTTTTGAAACACTTGTCTATAAGGTAATAGAGCGAGGGACTTGACGCCAGTTCTTGGAACTTAGAGCAAAAAATTCCATTGCCAGAGAGTCTCGATCCATCACCCCAATGCTGCCTCTCCGTATTGTCTTCTCGCCCCTCAGCAGCGATTGTCTTTCCTGTTGACCGTACCCATCTATGGTTTCGGAGCCCAAACACGAGTGATACCCTTACATCCTTCTCAACTGTACCATGCCGAGTCACCTCAGAGCTGCCAAGGCCTTCCTCCTGTGGAGTGCATAGGCTTTTTGGCTGTCCAGACAAAACTGCCGATCATGTCAGCGCTTACGATTGCTTTGCATCGCTAACAGAGTGGGAAACCCACAATCTGAAGTAAGTGTGGAGTTGGCGATAGCGAATCTCTTCTCTCGCTTGCGCCATCAGCCCTTCCAGCCCTAGCCTGGTGTCTTGCGAGCCCCAGTCATAAAGAGAGAAGCACCGAGTATGCAGTACCAAGTTCAAGAAACTATTGAACCAATTGCCAATCTCTTTCTCCTCGTCAGACGCACCTGAATCCCATGCACTGACCGGAAGTTTAAGAATCTCTTCCGAGGCAATAAAGCCAACAGCTTCAAGTTGACTTTTTGTGTTTTCAAAGTCCAAATCTTGTTTGCCAACTTTGCTCCCATGCAGAATCCCAGCCCAGCGACGCAGGGCGGAGTCATTGGGCAGGGTGCCGTCATCGCTTTGCAGAATCCACTGAACTGCTTCTATCTCAAGCAGACCGCCTGGCTTCAGGTGATCATACGCATCTCTGTAAAACTTGGGCCAATGTCGGCTGCCGTCAAGGACTGCTCGCGTATGAACAACATCATACTGCCGGGCCTGCCTCCACGCGTCATTTTCATCACCCAAAAGGATGTGGAGGTTTTTCGGAAGACAAGACCTGGGATAGAATTAGCAAAGCAACGTAGTGCAGTTCACAGGGAGCGTACTTCTGCGGCTGCAGGCAAGTGGCATCGAAGCCAAACACTTTACCACGCCGTCCGTCTGGACTTCTGCGATGACGTGTCGTTTATTAGCGGTCTCAGTCTCCAGGGACGAGAGGCTTTCATACTCGGCAATTTCTCTCGCCCAGATACCAGTGCCCGTTATGTAATCCAAAACTCGACTGTTAGGTCTCAAGTCATAATCCCATAGAATGCTGCAGTCTTGCCGCCCCCGGGCCAGCCTTGCAAGATGTTGGAACAGGTCGAGTGCATCCTTGACGTCCTCCTAGTCTTCTATTAGAAGGGGAAAATGGGCAGAGAGGAGAAGCAACACATTGCTGACATTTGCCTGCCATCCAGAAATAACGGGCTTGATGGGCTCCTGAGACGGTCGGAGGGCGGTAAGGTGACTTGGGGAACGATCAGCCACGAGCACACGGTTTAGTGAAGGCAGTTAGTTACCTTTCCTGAGTGAAGTCACTCTGGGGTAATCCTGAAAGCATTAACGTGGTTTAAGTAAAAGAGTAGCAGCGCCTTTTGCACCACTCTCGCAGCAGAAAACAATTGACAGCAGAGGATTTTGCAGCTCGAAATGTATGAGGAGGATGAATTTTCTATTCTGTGGCTGAACGCGCAGCTTGATTAGTCATGAAACCCCAGGTCGGAATTGACCGAACATCGGGCCTTCCGCAGAAATGCTTTGCTCACGTGATCACGCATACAAGTAAGCTTGGCGTCAACGAAGTAACAGCCCTGGTTGAGGTACTGGACAGCCTGCCGTGTGACCAAGGTCCTTTGGGGGCATGGCCGTGGTGAACAGAGAGCCAAGATTTGTTGTGTGTGGAACGCCCAGGAATTTAGGTCAGGCCTTGCCGGACCGAGACCATCTGATTACCCCTATAGCCCCGCTGTTACGGCTCAACCAGCGGAGTATCGACGCAGGTACACAACGAAGAAGTAACAACGGTGCCCACTCTCATTCTAAGGTCCTTTCTTCTTGCTGTGCGCATAATGGAAATTGAGTGGGTTCCTTCGTCGGAAGACTCATAACTGATATTAGAGGATATGTCACTGTGAGGGGTGCTTCGTGCCAGTCAGGGCTGCACAAACTGCCTTTCGTTGCAACAAGGATACATGCATGCTTGCCCTGATACCCTGTCGCGTGCTGTTGGTTGTCTTATCCTGATCCTCATCAAATGATTTGGGCGCAGGGTGTGAAGCTCCACTGCTGTCGGGTCTGCTGACAAACAATAGTAAATTTTGAATACTAACACTTGGATGGCAAGGCAGATTCAGCTGAGCTGGGGTATGTATTGTAAATGTGGCGAACTACGCATCATGCGTGTGGGTTGACCCAATCTCCTCCCCGGAAAGGCATCCGTCTGATTGTGATCAAGCACTATCTAAAGCCAGTCCCGACTGTACGGTAACTAGCGCTGGCGCTAGAGCAGACTACGCACTGGTTGGAGCACTATGGCGGAAAAGATGGGTGGCTGCAGGGGATGGAAAGAAAGGCAACCTCGCCACATGATTCCCTCGGAACTAGGACGCTATTTCCGTCCCCCTTGGTGTTCGTCACAATTTGCGATCGGTTGCAACCTCCAAATGATCCTCTCTCATGGTTAGGCTGCCATAGCCACAATTTCTCCGCAGAAGAAGATTCCACCCAACCGGGTAGCGTCTTTCATTTCCCCGGGTGATGCTCAAATAGCCCCAGAGCGGACGTTGAAAATTGAACCCAAGGCTCATTCGTTACTGGGCCATTCCCTCTTCCGGTAATCATGTCCGGAAGGATATTGCATGGAAGTGACGCCAAAAGAACTAAGAGCGTGTAAACGCACAAAACCATACCGTTTCCCGTTATGCGCAGTGTCACGTTGCCATGTAGAGTAGATGGACTTGGAGGTCTCGCCAATATGACACGCCGTTCGGTCTGCAGCACTGTTCCCATTGAAGAGGTGCGGCGCGTAGCACAGACTCAGCGGCAGAGCATCACACCACCCCCTCCCCCCCTCCGGATGGGCCATGCCAACAGCTTCTTGAAGACTACTTGATGCTTGAAATTGCCTTCCCTCCATTCCGATGCACCCTTTCAATTTGCGCTTCTCTCGTGAGCTTCATTTCGGCGGCCAAAGCAGCGGCGAAAGAGAGCACGGGAAAAGGAGCACGCCGATAAAGAAGCCAACCAGGGTTTACTCAACCACGCTCAGAAATGCATTGAGGAGAGCAGAGAAGCCTTGCAGGTTACCAGAAGGGGTAGGACAGTTCTCGAAAAGGGCTGACGCTGCCCTGCCGGGGTATCACACACGGCAACTGTACGACTCGATATGCAGATCAACCAAACGTAGGACAAGAACAACACAACATCACATCACCAACTCTCACCACCGACTAACCCCATACGCACCCTCGTGCCACCAACAGCAGGGCTCCCTTCAGCCGCCGAAGATAGGGACCTAAACTCTCGGAGGAAGTGCTCCAAGATGGCCAGCTACTAACCCTGCACGAGCAACCGCAATCATTGGAAGGAGTAATCAAAGATGACGCATACGGAAGTGGATTTTATATATGGGCTTATTTTGTGACCAGGGTAGACACTCACGCGCCCTCAAGAAAACACCGCCGGTTCGGGAGGGCAAAGTAGGGGTAAAACCAGCGGTGTTTTCTTGAGGGCGCGTGGACACTCTACAAGGGGCGCATGTAAGATAGACGCAAGAGCCCTTTATGGCTTAGCCAAAGCGTAACAAACTCTGTGTGTTCCCACCCAAGGCTACCGGCCTTCACTGCATTTTGAGCTCCACCTAAGCCTTTGGAAGCATGACTGCTAGCTTGTAAGCTTCACATGAGCTTATCCCAGTATGATTGATTAGCCAGTTGCTACCCGAGCCAATGTTTCCGCGCTTGCAATGGAGGATTAACTAAAAGCGACAACGTATCAGCACCCCGCCTTCGCCGCTATTACATCAATTCCGACAACCTACGTGAGATGTTCAGCAATTCAAGAGGCTTCGTGGGTGGCTGTCCGCGACGTGAACTGAAGGTAACCGTCGACGACCGGGATGCCGAAAGAGGCCGAGCCTACCGCCAGGCGGCATTCGTGAGTAATGCAGCCAGCCCGCTGGCCTTCTGGGGCTTGGCTTTGACACACTGCGTGAAGAGACCTGCAAGTTTGGTGTCACCACGAGGACTGGGGGGAATGCGCATGGTTCGGTACATCCAAAGCAAGCAAGAAAACTCGCGGCGTTTAAATGAGGTACCTACGTTCCAACGACACGGAGCCGAAACAGACTCCTCCGTGTTTGCTCATTCGAGTGGAATTGGCCAGGAGTGGAGGCGCCAAGCCCTGAAATGGGGCACCGCGTTGTGCCGGCGGTTAGAAAATGAGCAGCGCCTGAACCAGCAATCATCCAAGCTGCTCCAATGATTGGTCCGTCAAATGTGGCAGGTGCCAACGATTTGATTCCACCCCAACAAAAGCACACCTGTCACCTGTCGAGAACCAAAGTAACATAACATAGGGGCTACGTCTCCCCGAGCGTGGCCTGAGAGAGCAACGCGGGAGTTGGCTGCATCAAGGTGAGGAGCGAGTTCTTGGTTTGGAGGGAGACTACCGTCGTGACATGTACCTCTGGGAACCGGCGAAGATGTTGGCGGT